GGTTATTCCGAAGGCTGCAGCGGCTTTTGTATAGGCCCCTTTTGGTAGTTTGTCGTCTTTTAGGAGCTTTGTCAACCAAATGACAATATTTAGACGGTCACTGACGCTAAGTTGCTTGTGTTTAAGTCGGAGGGTTGGAGGGGTAGTCATTGGAGAAGTGCTCGTGCTGTTCGGCGTGATAGTCTTAGAATGAGGCCCTGATTTTCAGTCGAAATCGCTTTTTACACAAGCGATCAGACGGCAGCACATCATGCTTATCTGCACAGCTGACACTTATTACATGTATGTAGCTGGCAGCCACAACTTAAAAAAAAGCAAAAATCTATTCTTAGCCTAATAATAGCCAATGATATCATGTATTTTTCTGCGGTCGCTCGTTGCGTTCGATTTGAGATGAAACAGAGTAGTATCGGGGAACTGGATAAATTGCCTTGACTCTCCACGAGCAAGAAGAGCGTGTCCGACTAAAAAGTCCACTCGACTTCGTAGGGCCACTCCAGTTGATTTGTTCAGCCAGAACGTACTTAGACTCCTCATGTTTTTTTAAATTATATACATCTAGCACTGTTCCCAGCCCTCGATCGGTGTATGTGCTGATTTTCCGCTCTTTTCCTCGCTTTAGCATGTCCATCAAGTCTTTTAGGGTTTTGCCACGCGGGTGTGAGTGTTGATTCATGTTGATGGATTTTTAAAATTGGTAAAGATCAATGATAGCCTTTACATACGCATCCACAGCTTCATCACCAAGCCTAACAGCACTTCCTTCTACATTTTCTTTCGTTTGCTACCACGAGGAATGACAAAATTGTCGAGATAGCCCACAAGCTTCGATTCGTTAACTAGTGACCCGTCAAGACACATCTTATCTCCACACCACTTACGAAAGTCATCCTGCTTATTATTGTACTGCTTAATTGTACTTTCGGGTCTTGTTGTGGCGTGTCAAGCCATGACATTGACCACAGCTCATTGGAGCTCCTGCGCATTTGAAGCGTTCACAGTGTTCATCAGCCTTGTTCATTATGCCCTCGGAACTGGCTCAACGATTCGCGTAAAATGTGCGCCTATGGGGGCGAGGGCAATAGCTGGTTAGTCTGACCAAGTAAAAGGGCGAAAAATTGGTTTTGCAAGAAGGTCTCAACGAGTGGCTCTGATTACTATTCCTTTTAGTAGTTTCAATGCATTATTTGAGGACTGACCTGACCGTAAAATATATGCGAAATACGTAGTTTTTTTCAGTGGGATCGTCGGACGCGGTCCAGATCTACTGGTCGATACTAGGGGCTAGCACGGTTGGAAAGTATGTTTCACCGGCCAAGCGAATCAAATCTTCGCGTCCCGTTTTTTTAGCTTTAACCTTCCTTGAAAAAGAGGAAGGTTGCAATCCGCCAGTGAAGGTTAGTTATGATTGGTAAAAAGCCGTGTCAGAAGGTTTGATTTGGCTGGTTTTGAAAACACGGTTAGTTCCAGCTTCACTTTTCTGCACGATTTTAGCTGACGGATGAAGGATTAACTTAGTTGGCTGACCAAACATACTTACTTTCCAACCGCGATAACCCCTACTGTTTTTTTTTAAACCTGGATTAGAACCGGTTTTATTATTTTGGTTTTGCCTGTTTTAGTTTAAACTGCCTATCACATGTTCTACTGTATTCCTACTTCTACTACTACATATACTGCTATCCTACGCTACGTTCTCTACTTGCAACGTCTCTGTTCATGTCAGCGCGTAAGTACTCCACAAAACCATGGTCTTGGATCGCAGTATACCGTTAATAGTAACTTCGTAGGAAGTACAACACTCCGACAACCCGACAATGCAACCGACGTAAGCGAAAGCGGGATTTCGATTGGGTGCCTTCCAAAATCCATATAAAACGGTTTAATCAGTTTATTCGGTAATCTAAAATAAATTACAAATCGGTTTAATGCGAACCAAAATGGTTGCTGAAATGCCTTCGAAGTTTAGTGACGTGTTTAAACACGGGTGCCTTTCAAACCCCCATAAAAAAATTATCACGGGGGTTAGGGTGGATTAAACGGTGACAAAACTTCGTGATAAAACTGCAAAGTTTGGTGAGACGAGAAAGTCGTCTCACCAAACTTCCCGTTTTATCCCTTTTTATCCGCTTTAATCACGCATCTCTATTTAGCAACTAATTAAAAAGTAATTTGTGTTTTGTATATGATTAAGCGATTCCCCTAACTAGCACATTTCTTGAAATTGAAGTTGAAAAGCGTATCTTCAAACAATTCGAAGGCGCGAAGTTTCGCGCCTACCGCGGCCTCACTTCATTCCAAAATCATTCTCCTACCGCACAATCAGACTCGCGGTAGTTGTAAGTAGGGCATATTCTCCCGCCGAATTGTTTGTCAGACTTTAATAACTTGTTAACTTGTGCTATGGTTCTATTGGCCCTCAGGTATGAGGCAGAACATTTCCACAATGGCCTCCAGGCTCCCAAACGCGGCTACAAGGTGATAATTTTCTTCTTGGAGTATCGTCTTAGAGAAGCGTACGCGCTAACCCGATTAGTGTTGTGTTTAATATGTGTTAGCCCCAAAATGGTAGCGCCTACTACTATTAATCGGTCTCTTGACTTCGAGACTTCCTCTAAGCCTCTCCTTAGCGCTGGGCATCGACTTATACGCGTTCGTGAAGAGTCTCGTGATCACTGTGATCAACCACCAAGCTGAGAGCGCGAACAACGAGATAGTGACCGTAGAGCGGAGGCATCCTTAGTTGAACAACGGCTAAACCAACAGCGTCTTGACGAAAAACTGCGTCGTGAAGAAGAAGAGCGGAGGGAAGTAGCGGCTCGAGCAGAGAGAGACCAAGAACGGGCTGAAGAACGAAGACGACACGAAGAGCGAATGGAGTTGGAGAGAGCGGAAGCCAGGCAGCGGCATGAGCAGATGATGATTCTGTTAAGTAACATGAGCGGAAGAAAGTGATTGAGAATAGGAGTAGCGACTTGACGCAACATCAACAATGATAGCCACAATACATTTAATTTCAATTGTACTTGTCTCTGCCGTGTAGATGTGTAGTGCGAATTTGGCTAATACCCACTGCGCAGACTGGGAAGTTCGCCAACTGAAAAAAGGTTGTCAAGTCGCTTTTGACGCTTCGACATCTCGAATGGGAGCGGCATTAGTAGACGTCCATACACCTTCTCAATGGAGCCCATTCCCCACTCTGCCGACTGGCGAATGAATGTGATGGCCCCAGAGAGAGATCTTGCAACTGGCCGCACCGACGGAGTTAAACGTCCCAAATCTCCATCTTTTAGAGGAGTTAATATGCGTCATTTCATCTCTTTAGCGCACGGAAAAGCGCTATCTGCTACGACGCCGCAACGCGAATCTGGATTTAACCTCGAGTGCACCAGCTTTTGCCGGAAGCCTAAGCTCGTATCCCCGTCATTCCAGCTGCCCGGGCAATTGTGTTTAGCCCACACAATTAGCCCGTCAGCACTGAAACAAAGGGTCTCGGTGACAAATACATGGTACAACCAGCCCTTATAATGTGCATTCGGAACGTCAGTATTTGGCGGCTGCTGCACCTACAACAACAGCACGTATTAGATTTTATATATGGAGTTAAAGCAGTATATCCCTTCACCTTGTAACTATTACCGTCTAAAAAGCCCCAACTGTATCGCAAGAGCGGCTGGTGGGCTTCCACTAACTTTGCCAAAACCTTTTGTCGAAGTGGTGATGGCCACACAATTCGCGCAGGTGCAAAGCCATTTAAAGCTTTAGACATGGCGCCCCCCGCAGCATTTAACACGCAAGAGAGTGTGGAGGGTGGCACAGCAAACATGAGGCAAAGCGATTCCGTTTTCATGGTACCTACGTAAAACGGCAACAACCGACCCAGAACCTGATGGTGGTGCTGTAACTTCCTGGGTCTCCCCCCACGCGGAGTGTACTGAGGAAGCTCAAAATAAAGCGCAAAACGCTCTAATAGGATCTCGAACGCAGCGCTAATCAAATACACAAGATGTACTGTCAGGTCGCTATTTATGTAGATAGACACAGATATATCTTACCGAGATAAGCTCGTCTTTGTTATCAGGTTCCCATCGGTGCCGCCAAACCACAATCGCATCCAGGCGGACTCCATGGGGTGCTTTAAGCAGTCGAGAGTTACGTAGTGCCTCATTCGTACGAGTCTCTGCCACTCAATACGTAGCTTCTCTTCATGGAGGCGTCGTCGCAGGCGACTCAAAAGTAGAAAGTACCGTTTGCGACGTTTGTCGCGTCTCCGCATAGCAGCACTGAGCACTAACACCGCTCCGTCGCTGCTCATAGCAGCTTCTCTATCGAGATCTTCTATCAGGATGTTGCAGGGAAGGGGGTGCAAATCATTTAGCGATCTTTTACCATCTTGATAAATAGAGATTGTAGAGCTATTTTTGTCCTATAATGACTTGTCACGATCGTCAACCTATATTCAACACAGTATGTACTGAACTTCAAACACAGCCAATTTGGGACAAAACACTATTTAATAGGGGTTTTTGGATGTAGGTTTTTCTAAATACCGATATAAAAACGCATCACCGTGATAGAAGGGTGATTAAAGGGTTCATAAAAACATTGCGATTAAACTGTTTCATATGGGTTTTGGAAGGCACCCACTGGTCCGTAAAACGTCTGCAGCACTAGCAAATTAAGCCAGTTTGTCATCAAAACAGGATCCCAGCTAAAGCGCGCCTTCTCTAACAATATTGTGAGCAAAACGACGGTTCAAATGGACAGGAGTATCTTGTGAGAGATTTTACGCCTTCCGCCGTTTTTACGGTTTTGACTTGAAGGTACTTTTTACACCTGTCGCAGAAAACCCGTAAATTTCGGTACTAGGTTGTAAAATACCCTTAACCTGTAGCATATCGGTTTAGTGCCAGTGATGGGCAAAAATAGAGACTTGTGATTGGGTAAAGGCATTTCACTAGTAAATTCACGTGTTCTTGCTTCAGAATCAGTTTGGCATCATGGCAATCAAGGCGCAAAGTGTTCGTGTCGGAGCCATCGGCGGAGGCGCGGCTGGCATCAGTACGTTGGGTTATTGTAAAATATATTGATTACTATTATGTGAGTGTAACGGGTGTAACTTGCTGGATGTTATTGCAGTCACGGCCAAGTGTCTGCGAGACGTGGGGCACGAGGTGGTTGTGTTCGAGAAGTATGGAAATGTGGGCGATGTGTGTAAATACGACGAGGCTGCGGATGCTCAGTCGTCGGTGCTGTACAAGTCACTGCACACGAACCTGCCGACAGCCACCATGCAACTCAAGGAGTTATCGTTCCAGAAGGGAGTGCCCAGTTTTCCATCACACGTGGACGTACTGACCTACTTGCAGAACTACTCGAAGCAATACGAGGTGGACAAGTTTGTGCGTCTTAACTCGGCAGTGACAAGTCTGTCGAAGGTCTCCAGTCAATGGAAGATTGGCGTGTCGTCAAAGGAGAAGGAGGACTACGAGGAAGGCTTCGACCGCGTCGTGGTCTGTAGCGGGCACTTTTCTGAGCCTTCACTCGCATCGATTAAAGGCACTGAGCACTACGGAGGCACTGTGTCACATTCACGATCATACCGCACACCCGTTCGTACAAGGACAAGGTAAGGCACCTATCCGAAAGTAAGGTATTCTTCTGGAATGATGACATGGAATTTGATGCAGCGTGCTGTAGAAATTGGCCGTGGACCATCAGGTCAAGATATTTCTCTGGAACTTGCCCGAAGTGGAGCTGCGGAGTGGTTGTTGCAACGCTGGACTACGATCCGAATGTCATTGACCCCGAAGACCCGCGTGTACTGAAGCCTGCGATTGATCGTATCGCTGAAGATGGTTCCGTGGTGCTCACGGATGGATCGACCATTGCGTCACCTGACGAGATCCTGCACTGCACCGGATATCTGTACACGGTCATAGACCTTTTCCCGTCTGACCTGTTATTCCCCAATGCCTTCGTTCAGCCAAATGGCTTGAACGATCAGATCGCTGCGAACCTGCTGCAATGCACGACAAACGGAACTGCTGTGGCCCCCATCTACAAACAATTGTTTGCTATTGAAGATCCCACGGCTGCGTTCGTCGGACTTCCTTTCAGCAACCTGCCGTTCCTCTGCTTCCAGCTCCAAGCTCGTTGGATAGCACGTGTGTTTAGTGGATCTGCAGTCCTTCCTTCAAAGGAGGACATGTACGCGGATTTCTTCGCTTATCTTGGCACTCTTAAGGATGGAGTGAGAAAGCTGCATCAACTGGGAGCTCGGCAGAAGGATTGTTTCACGTGTGTCATGCTACTTTTATTCTCTCCTTTGGTTGCTGGTTTCCTAATGTTGCCTGTTGTTCAGCGAGTTGGCCGCTCTGTCCAACTTCCAACTAGGAGAAGAAATTCACGAGATCTACGAGGACGCTCGCTTCTTTCGTCAAAACTTGCCGTACAACTACCGGGCAGCTGTGTTCACACAGGATGAAGCTACGGGGAAGTGGGTCCGTGGCATCAAGTCGCGCGACTCTCCTTCAGAGCTTGTGGAGAAATTCTCGGGCTAACGCCTCTCTTCTCAGCTTCTCGCGTTACTGCAAGACGCTTATCTTGGGGCTAGTTCGAAGATTGCAACGAAAGCAACACCTCCGCTTCAAACCTCACATAGTTCCCTGAGATGAACAAAGGGTCTTTCCAAATAGGGTGATCGGGAAATTTCCTACGTAGCACTACCGAGTCTTGAAGAAACATTACTCTAAAAACGTGCAGCAATCCAATCAATCCTCCTACAGCAACTTCCCGGCTTCCAGACTCGCGAAGGTCTCTCTCTGTCAAGAAAAACCTTTCGTAGTAGCTCAACAGGTGGGGTTATTGTGGCACGATCTAGCCAATACCCACCCGCCTTTGTCTGGAACCCTGCCAAAGCGCGCATTGCCTTTCGCGGTAGTGTTGTTAAATAGCACGCTTCCATTTCTCTCTCCATTCCATCTACCAGCTCGCCTAATCTGGTTTTCATCCGCGCCTTGTAGCTCAGCCAGCTTGGATCCTGAGCCCGGATTGGCCAGCGTTCAGACTGACGAATCGATACCACATGCCCTAAATGCAGTCTTCACGCTTTCTAATTGCGTATTGTACGCAATATCACACATTGCACCTTTTCGTTTTAGCAGACGGAGATCGTACTAGTGTTTTCGATCGGTAAAGCGAGGAAATGACTCCAAATCCACATGCCATCTCCAGAACAAGTATAGGACCACCGCATTTAAAGGGCATAACATCACTTCTTTGCATCGCATAGCTTCAAGTTTCGGCCTTTGACCCGTGCCTCTACATCAAAGTTGTTGATGGTCACTGTGTGCTCATACTGGTCTACGTCGACGATGCCATGGTCACCGGAAGCTCACCCGAGCTGACCTCACGCACGAAGAGCGATCTTAAGACACGCTGACTCCACCCCTTTCGGGTTTCGGTATTCGGGTAAATCCATAGAGGGCGCTATCGATCAGGCGTTGGTAGATCTGGGGCGCATTCTTCAATCCAAAAATGACTGACAGCGGCAAGTGTGTGCTCGTCTTTGGAATCGAATTGGAAGACGGCCCAGACGGCAGCGTGACGATGAGCCAACGGCGTTATGTGGATGAAATCCTGAAGCGTTTGGGTATGGACGCGTGCAAGGCTGTGGTGAGTCCGGTGGATATAAGCGCTCGACTAGCTCCAAGAGACGCGGCGACCAAGGTACAAGCTCCGTTTCGCGAAGCTGTTGATGCACTAATACACCTGATGACCGCGACGCGTCCAGATATTGCGTACGCGGAGGGCTATGTGTCGCGCTTTATGGAGAATCCCCAAGAAGAACACTGGGTTGCGGTCAAGCGCATTTTTCGCGACCTGCAAGGCACCAAGACGCATGGATTCTGATACAAGTCGGGTGACAACATCGACTTTCGCGGATACTCTGACGCAGACTGGGTTGGTGACCTCGTGGACCGCAAGTCGACTTCCGGCTGCACGTTATACTGATGGGTGCGTCAGTGAGATGGGGTAGCAAGAAGCAGTCAAGTGTCTCGCTGTCTACGAGCGAAGCGGAGTACATCACGATCAGTCTAGCAGTTCAAGAAGGCAAGTGGATTCATTGCCTGCTGTGCGAGATCTTAGCAGCTGCCAAGCCGATAAAATATACGAGCTCGTCGAAGGTTTCGTTCCACACGCGCGAAGCTTGTTTTAGACCGTAAATAGCCTTCACCAATTCCACCTTCGGGAACCACGCAAAACACGATCTCCCTCATCACGCCGTGCAGGAATGCCGTCACCACGTCTAGTTGGTCTAGTGGTCAGCCCAAGTACTTGGCCAAGGTGATCACCATACGCAACGTCACGTACTGGACAACCGGCGAGAACGTATCAGTGTAGTCGATGCCGTACTTTTGCTTGAGGCCCTTTGCCACGAGGCGTTCCTTGTACTTCTCGATCGATCGATCCGTCCGCTTTGCGCTTGATCTTGAACACTCACTTGGTACCAATGGCGCGTTGTCCGTTCAGCAACTTGGTAGGACGGAACATTCCTCGAAGTCGCATCGACTTGAGCTCAGCACGAATTGCCTTGCGCCAGTGCATTGGGTCGGGGCCGTTCACCCCCTCTTAAAAAGTCGCCGGCTCCGATAGGTCCACCTCAACTTCGACTGCGTTGGCACTTGCACGCCAAAACACGGGGGGAGTCGGTTCTTCATCTTGATCTGCAGCTTTTTCTTCTTCGTTTGCGTCTGCTCGACGCGAAGACGAATTGTTTGGCGCACTTGCTTCTTCCCGTCCGGGTCGATGACGCGAAGTTCGTGGTCTTGTGGCAGATTCATCTTCACTTGGGCGGCTCTTGCGTTTCCCCGCCTGCCTGAGCTACGTCTGGCGCATACTGTCATTGTATACTGTCATTGTCGATGCCGAGAGAGTCGAAGTCCAGGTCGTCGACATCTTCACCGGAAATTGGCGCTGAAAGTCCAAAGGTCGATTCATCGAAGTTGACATCGCGACTGATAACCACCTGCCCCGCCTCGATGTCATAAAGTCGATACGCCTTGGATACTTTTTCGTAGCCCAGGAACAATCCGGCGCGAGCATTCGGATCCCACTTGAGCCGTTTCTCCTTCGGAGTTAAGATGAAAGCTCGACAGCCGAAGACACGCATGTGTTTCACACTCGGCGCGGACTTGTACACAATCTCGAACGGATTCTTGCACTCGATCGTTGGTGACGGCAGGCAATTTTTCACGTAGATGGCCGTCATTGCCGCTTCACCCCAGAAGCACTTGTCCAGCTCGGCATGATGAAGCATGCTGCGGCCAATCGTGACGATGGTGCGGATGGCCCGCTCTGCCGTGCCGTTAGTCTGGTGCGCGTACGGAACCGTGGTTTGTTGCTCAATGCTTTCGTCTTCGTATAAATATTCAAGCGAGTTAGTCTCAAACTCACGAGCTTCGTCGTGTCACACGAACTTGACCTTCTTGCCAAACTGATTTTGCACCTTCGTGATGTACGTCTTGATGCAGCCCTCGCTTGCTGCTTTGGCACGCAGACAGAAACCCTTCATGCATCCGCTGGCTTCGTCCACGATCCGTAGCAAATACTTGCTGCTGGCAAAAGAGGTTTCTCCATGGGTCCGCATATGTCGAAGTGAAGCAACTCGAAGGTGTCGTAACGACGCTTGTCACGGTTGCTAGGGAATGCTTTTTGGACCATCTTGCCTTGCTGACAGCCGCGACACAGACTTGGTCCGCTAGGCTTGGAAGTTGCTTTCGCGTCCTTGATCATCTTGTTGTCGACCATCTTGCGAGGCACCTCGACTGGAGCGTGACCCATACGCGCATACAGGTCGACCGTCCTTCCAGCTGTCGCCGTATTTCTGATCGAATAGGCGTGCGAAGCCAGTAAAGTCCATCTACGAGATCCACCGGCGCCACCACTTTATTTGAGTCCTTGCGTGAGATGTGCATCTCGGTGGCATCGAACACCACTTGGAACTTTCCGCTCTTGTTGATCTGCGGTACCAAAAGCAGATTCTTGCTCATGTTAGGCACATAAAGTGTGTTCTTGATCTCGATCTCGTGCTCGGCGCCGTTGGGCAGGACCACTCTTTACACGATGGCCCCCATACTCTTGATAGCCGCCTTGTTCCCGTCGGCCACCGAAAGCTCGCCATCATTGCGCTCGATCAGATTGGCGAACTTGGACTTGTCGCTACAGATGTGGTGCGTGGCACCACTGTCGACCGCCCACATTCCAGACATATTCTTGTTCGTCGAAACTCTACATTCCAGGAAATCGCGAACGCTACTCGGTCGTAGTCGTAGTCGTCGTCGCTGTCGTTTCACCACTGAGTGCTGTTAGCTCCGCGTCCACGGCCGTTTCCGCCGCGTCGAGCATCTCGACCCTCATCCTTCTGCTTGGTCCAGCACTTGTCAATCCTGTGCCCCAATTTCCCGCAGTACGTGCATTAGCGAGACTCTCGGTTGGTGCTGAACGCCTTGGCCGCGTTTCCAGTCCTCACCGTCGCCGTCTTCTCACCTTGTCGCTTGATGTGCTCGTTTGTGAGCACTTTCACAGCGTCTTGCGACCGCAGCTCTGCGCTGCTCATCTCCAGATTGAGGACAACATTCTCGTAGCTCTTGGGGAGACTTCGCAGCAAGCAGATCGACACGTCCTTGTTCTCCATCTTGGTGCCGATGCTGCTGATCTTGGCGCTGATGTTGAGGACCTCGTTGCAATGATACAAGATATTGCCGCCTTCCGACATCTCCACGCGGAAGAGTTGGTGCTTCAGGTACATGCGACCAGCCTTCTGCGACCGACCATACAGCGTCTTCAAGCGCGTCCACGCGCCCCACGCTTCCTCGCAGTCATCAACCACGTGCTGGTAGTCCGCGTTCATGTGAAGCAACATTACTCCGAACGCAATGTTGCTCGCCTTGACGTAGTCGTCCTTGGTCCGGATATCCGTGAAGCTCGGAATCGTTTCCCGTTTCACTACATGTCATACCGACTTGGTCAGAAACAAGCCACGCATGTAACAGTCCCACGTCGCGTAGTTGTCACCGTTGAACTTGTCGATGGTGACCTTGGTCGAGGCGTCATGGGCAGAGGACATGGTGCTTGGGCTCATAACCTGTTAACGGTGTAGAGGTGTTGGAACGAAGCTTGGGGCTAAGTGGAGTGACTTCTGCACCTGGTGCGGAGACCGGACTGAAGACACTTGAGCGGAAGAAGGAAGATTCGTAAGTGATCGATTTATCGGGGCTTACACTGCTCTCACTACCTAGGTCATCCAATCATTCTGTACTCGTCCAATCATCCTACTCGTCCAATCATAAGTGGCATAAACAACGAACCCTAATCACAGCGGGATTGTGTTGGACCGGTTCAGGTTGGCCGGTTAATGGGTACAGCTGGTACACAGTACCAAGACCAGCAACACAAGCACTCTATCTGCGTTAGATAATAAAACTTCGCAGAGAAACAAAAAAAATACTTGATTGGATCATCATTCATGGGATTTGATGAACTAATAGGATGCTGAGGA